GGGTAATTTTTTCTTTTTGTTTTTCTTTTGTAAATATCAAAGTTTGCCTCTCAGTCAAGGCTTGCCCTTTTTTGTTTGTTGTTGGTTTTTTTAATCACATTGGCCATTCATTGTATTTTGTTTCAGTAAGCGTTTTACGGCACTTGCAGAACAACTAAGTCATATAAGTACCGAAGATAGGAGGTGCTCCAAGAAAGTAACCAACACCAAAAAGGAGAAGAGATAAGGACGATATGTTATGCTTAATTTATATTTAAAAAACGGATGTAACCGCTCCAGAGCACCAGCCAATCAAACACATTAACTGTTTAAGTTCAACGCCCCACTCAGCACTTACGGATTATTTTAAAAGCGGGACCTATAAACATTTTAACAACATCTCTCTTTCTTTTCTTTTTCTCTCGCAGTCATCATTCCAGGATGTATACGAGGAGGGCGACAGCATGCTCTACTTCGACTTCGTCGCCAACGGTCTCATCACCGTCTTCATCATCTCCAGCACCTGGCTCATCGTCGTCATGGCCGCAGAACGCTACATCGCCGTGTGCCACCCGCTCCGGGCCCGGAAACTCATCTCTTTACGTCGCACACGCATCAGCATCATCGTCGTCTTCTTCATCTGCGTCATGGCGACGATTCCCATTTTCCTCGAGCGTCGCATCGACGCCGTGTCCTGCCCAGACGGTAGACGGGTGTACCGCCTGGTGCAACGCTCGGAGGACTCCGTCAAGGTCCGCCGTATTCTCTGGGCGGTCTGCTTTGACTTTATTCCGTGCGCGGCACTCGTGTACTTCAACCTGTGCCTCATTCTACAAATACGCAAGGCCAAGCGACTCCGCGACGAGATGGCACCGAAGCACGCGGTGCTCAGATACGAGAGTGCCCGGGTGTGTTTACATCCCAAAGACTGTCGGAACTCGGACGAGGAGTCCGGCATGGATAATAACGGTACAGCGAAACACACGGACCAGACAAAACTGTCCAACAAAACGTACATAGGCAGGGGTAGAAGCCCCCACCAACAGCAGCAGCAGTCTCAGAAACAACAGCACAATCGACAGGTGGGCCGGCATCAGTTCCGAGCGTCTGGTCCCCGGAGCGCGGCGTCCGGGAGGTATTCACATTTCGTGGCCTTCGCCAACGGCAAGGAGAAAAGCTCTAAAAGCAGCAGCGGCCTCCACTCGAGCCACACAGACGGCACGAGCTCAGCAGACTCGGCCTACAGACCAACGGTCAGCCAACGCCAGGAGCTGAACCGCAACGGGAGAACAGTCAATTTCCGGGAGGGTGGTACCTCCCGATTCGGTGCTATGGCCGTGAGCAGCAGCGGGAGCAGCGTCATGAAAAAACGTCCTTCCGACAGTGCGCTGAACAGCGTCACAGCCACCCTTGTAGCGGTGGTCATATTGTTCCTTATCCTCGTCTCACCCTCAGAGCTACTCAAGTTCTCTGTGGGATACGCCTTGACGGACAGCCATCAGAAAAAAGTGGTGACCTACGTGACCAACTTCATGCAAGTCCTCAACTTCTCGCTCAACTTCGTGCTCTACTGCGCTGTCAACAAAACGTTTAGGCACACGCTAAAGGGACTCATCTGCTGCTGCTGGCTCTCAATACGACGATGAGACGCCTCAGTTCATCGAAATTGCTAACAGCACACTGATAAGTCATACGAAAACAGAACAAAAAAGTCTCGACCAAACATAGACCAACGTTTTGATTATGACATGATGTCCAGAAACGTGTACAAACTATAATATTGTTAACAAAATGTGAATTCTGACTCGTATCGATGTGTTAATTGTTGTCTACATTTTGATGTATGGATTGCCTGCTTCATCGTGTTGCCTTGAGAGTGAGATTTACAAAAACTGTCAGAATATTATACTTCAAAATTTACTGAATGCGAACTAATTCACAAGGACAGTCCTTGGATTTCTGGACGGGAATATATAACATTATTATGAAACAATATTTTAAAAGACATCCTACTCGATTCGTCATTATTTAAACAGTAGCGTAGAATCAATACTTCAAAGCAAGATAAATTACTACTCGTAGATCTTAAGTAAAGAACGTTTTGAAAGAAAACAAAAAGATGCCCACATTCTGCTTTTCTTACTTGACTGCACTCAACATGGATTTTCCGTTTGCTGTTTTGAGCTTCCGCCCTTGTTTACCGGGGCACTAAATCCATACAATGTCGGCACAGCCACGGAGGAGCTAACGCTTTGATCTCAGTTCTTTTCTCATTGACAACCACGGTGGAGCCAAGAAAAAGCATATTTTACTGCATGAATAGGTACATGAACTCCAGGTTTTGTTAGCGTAAAGGGTCGGAAACCGAATGATACAGAAAAAAGACAAAAGTTCGGATGAAAACACCAAAACCCTAACTTTAATCTGACACTTATCATCTCAACCCTCACTCTGCAACCTTAAAATAAAGCATTGGTGCACTCAGCCACTCCGCCACAGTGTAGACTAAGATTCACCACAAACAAGATAATGCTGCTATCGAAACATCTAAAGATTCATGAGTATTTGGCTCCTCCGCGGTGTCGACAAGGAGAAACACGATAGCTCCTCCGCGGTGCTTCCCGCCATGTCATAATAATTGTATGTTTCATGCTGACAATAAAATCTCCATATTTGTTTCTATGTAAGACGGCTCTTTTGTGATGTATTGGCGGAGACGTAAGTCCCGGTACCGGTGTGTGTGTGTGTGTGTGTGTGTGTGTGTGTGTGTGTGTGTGTGTGTGTG